CCCGGGGCACCCGGAGCAGGCCGGCCGGGAGAGCCGCCTCGCCTGGTGCCCAGGCAAGGGGGGTGGTTTGCTTTTGGCATTGCCTCGCAGAAGGCAGATGGTTTCTTATCATTTCATCGTTTTTGCCATCTCCTGCGTGGTGTTGCTTAAATAAATCCTCTCTTTCTTGGCCCCTGCTACACTGCGTCGTTCCTAATGTGTCTGTATCGCGTCAGAAGTTGAGAATCGCACACAGCAGAAGGCTCTTCATGAGCGTGAAGAGCACCGGGGAGCACTTGCAGGACGGATCTTCTAATTAGAAGACAGTTAAGTGACTAAGTGTTTTGAAAATGTCTAGGGTGATGACTTACTTGTTAACTTTTTGCGCAATGCCAGACATCGTGTGGTTGCCTTGCGAGTCGTGTATGTTAGAAAGCTTGGGCTGAAGCCGTGTGCCACCCAGGAGGGAAAGTGCAGCTGAGGCTTCGTGGCAGTGCCAAGCCTGCAGCTTTCAGCGTGGTGTTACAGTTTTGAATATGCGTTCCCGAGACATGAAGGCTCAGTAGTAGTGTTGGTTCAATACATGAACTGTTCCCATCTGAGTGGAAGCCCTCAGTAAAACACAAGGCGTAAAAGGAGAGAGAGACATCGTCTCCTCTGTCTGCAGGCACACCAGCCTCCCAGTCCAGGAGGAGGACATTGTGTCTTCTTTAGAAATCATAATTTCCATTTTCATGAAAAGTGATGATAGTAAATACCTTTGTCCATGCCTGAACATCATGAACCCAGGCTGTCCGGGGCACTGAAGAATCTTTACATGAGTGTTGGTCGCCTTGCTCCGTTTGCCCATCGCTCAGTTTGTGGTGTGATAGAAGGTCTCTGAGCCAATGAGCGGAAAAAATTTGGAAACTGGGGTAAAACAGATAGGAACAATATGTATAGGGTGAGAAACTAGGATGGAAACTACTGCATGATGCTAATTTGGGACTTGCATTACTTGGTACAAACATCGCACCTGTACCCACCCAAGTGCCCTTGCTGTGGTCAGGCTGTTTACCTCATAGTAAAAATCTGTTGCTAGAATGACTTGCAGCTGCAGTGGTTGTGTAAAAGCTGGTTTTCTTGCATAGCAAAGCCCTGTTACATTTTTATAAGCCTTCACAATTAAATACCATCTATTTGCTGAATGATGTATTAAATAAATGGAAAACGGGTAAATGCAGGTTTTATATTCTGAAACTGGTTTATGCCAGAGTAAAATTGGATTTTTATTTGATCATCAGCATTTCTAGGGGGGGAAAAAAAAAAGTAAGATCTGATCAGTGTTTATGTTGGTATTGCCATGTGGGACAGTTGGTGATCCCTAATTAAGTTGGAGATTATTGTATTTGAAGAATTACAAGAAGCAGAGTCTTGTTAGAGGGTGATATTAAGAGTTAGTATAAAATGGGGAAATAATGGCTGTGGGGAAATTATTAATAGATTTCATCAGAGACAGGGACTTGGGCAGATCTCGTTCAATGTTTTAGTTGATGACCTTGGTACACAAAATAGGATGCAGTAATGATGTTTGCTGATGACCCAAAGCAGGGAACTGTTTGCTAGGTCAAAGAGGACTGAGATACCCTACAGGAAAAACGGAGTGACGTTGACTGTCAGAGTAAATAATACCTATGGGCTGAAATTTGGCATGGAAGGTTTGGGGCTGGTACCGAGGAACAAGGAGTTCACTAACAGAGAATGAGAGACTTGAACATAGTAATGGATCACAGGATGTGAGCAACTGCTTTATGACAGTGAAAAAAGAAATTGTGATCCTCGGTGTGCAGCAGAGGAGCTCATTTAGAGAGAGATGCAAAACTGTGAACTTTCTTGTACAAGGCTGAGAGAGCTGAACCTGGGATCATAAATGTCAGCTCTGGTCATGTGTTAAAAAAAGGGATGTGTAGACTTCAGGAAGTGCCAAGAGCTGTTGAGATGGTGAAGTAAGTGGAGAGTCAAGAGTTTAGCTTGTTTTCGTTGCCAAGCTAAAGCTAAGGAGGGATGTAACAGTCCAAAAGCCACCACTAGGTATGGTATTCCTGCAAAGTTTGCAACTGGGACCTGCAGTCTCCAGTGCCATTTATTGAAAAGACTCCTGTAAATTTGGGGAATTCCTGTGATCACCACACACTATCCGGAGGAGGAGAAAAAAAAAATAAATCTGGAGCACCTCCTTTTTGCCTGAGGGAAGTGTGTTCCAGTGCCAGCCTTGACACAGACATCTGTTCAGTGTGAGTCAGGAAGCTGACTAAGAAGCCAGACACCGTGGTTGCCCTCTGTCCCTCCGGAGACGTGTTCATGATTACAAATAATGTGGAGGATCGGCCATGTAGAAGAGATCTTGTGTTCTTAGCAGGATTCTGCTGCTTCCCCAAACTGTCAGCGGGAAGTTATGATCAGAACTTCTTTTTTTTTTTTCTCCATTTTTTTGCCTCTTGGAACTCTTTCTGAGTGATGGAAGATCATCTGTGCAGTTACCTGTAGTATCTTAACTAGCCTGGATTTATTTAACTTCCCTTTTGGCTTACAATCAGCAGAAGTGGATGCTGCATCCTCTACGCTGCTTCAGAGAGCTTCCTTGGGATCTGCTGAAGCTGGGGAGCAAAGGAGAGGGATGTGCTGGTTTGGCTCCCCTAGTGCCTGCGTGGCCATAAGTAAGAGTTAACAAAAGCCGCCACCAGTTGGCAGTTTCAAATTTAAAAACAATGTCAGGGCTTTTTTTTCTTAAGTTCCAGGTGACTAAGCTGTCGTTCAAAATTGTTGTTATACATGAGTGTGGCACTGAATCCATGTATAACAAGACTCTTGATGGACAGGTTTGTTTTTTGTTTTTTAAAGAGTGATTGGGGTGGGAACTCTGCCATTCCTGTAGTGCGGGCAGAGCTACTCATGTAGGACACTCCCTACTGCAGGGGCAGGGGGGAGCTCCTTTTCCCTTCACTCTCAGGTGCTTTTGTGCCTGATTACAATTATGGTTTGTAATAATGTATGGCAGTTTTCACCAAAAGTGTGTTACTTCGGTAAACATTTCTTTGCATTGAGATTACTTCTCTGGTTTGCTGAGTCGTTTGCTCTTATCTGGGGTTACGAAAATGGGCGCACTGAGGGATTGCTGCAATTCGGACTCCATCCTGAAAAGTATTTCTCAGCTTTCACTTTCCAGTTGAGAAACGTTTTCTGGCGTCTCTTCAAGAAGGGAGATCTGTGAACCTCTCTGGCTGACCTGAAACTGAGGGCTGTGTTTACTTGCTTCCAAATTACATAATGTCCAGTTGTTGCTTAAAAGAGGGGAGAAAAACAATTTATTGTTACTGCAAAGGGAGCCCTTCTTCCATCTGGTACTGGCTTCATTTCTTCACCTCTTCTCTGTGGGTCATATTTCTACCTGTCCCATCCCCCAAGTTTCCTCCTCCTCTTGTCTCCTAGTAGACAAAGCTATTTGTAAAACCTGTTTTCTTTGCAAGGCGTTTTTGCAGCTGTGGTTGGTTCTGCTCCCAAACGACTAATTGCCAATTCAGAAAAATATGATAGCCGTATTTCTTTAACCCGATCTCCGGCTTATTTAAGAGAAATATATTTCATGTCTCTTATATCTGCAATTTTCACCCTTTCTTAATTATTTTTCAGGGTTTGGGTATCTCCTAATTGAGGAGTGTCAAAATACTGATTGCAAGTGAATCCTCCTCAGTCAGCCTGTTGGATGTCTCTGAGAACATAAGAAGTCATGGCAGAAAATGATGCAATGCCGACCTTACCAAAAAAGTGTGGCCCATACATTTCATCTGTAACCAGTCGTGGCATGAATTTGGTAATTCGTGGTATAGTGCTGTTTTTTATTGGCGTATTTCTTGCATTAGTATTAAACTTGCTTCAGATCCAGAGAAACGTTACTCTCTTCCCCCCTGATGTGATCACAAGCATCTTCTCCTCAGCTTGGTGGGTACCACCTTGCTGTGGCACAGCGTCAGGTAAGTTCAGTTGTGTACGTATGCCTGGCGTGGAGATGAAAGGGTGGATAGGTAGTTATATAGTTAAACTATATGAAAGGTGTGGAAGATAAAAATGTCTCTTCCAGCATCACTGCCCTTTTCAAGCTATTGTTATCCTTCTGATCTCCTCATATTATACACAAATATCCATGCATGTGTCCAGAAATTGTTGTTCTGCTAACATGTTATACTGTAATAATTGTTAGCAGAGTGTAACATTTGCTTCTTCTGCTAGGTTAGAGCACAAGTTTAACAGACTTTAGAAGGTGTAAACCTTTAGAAGGCTGTAACCTCGAGGCTGGATTACAGGAGCGTGCTCTACAGGCAGCCCTTGAAAATACCCTGGAAGTGCCAGATGGTGCAGCACACGGTATCCTGTTTTGAGCTCACTCTGACTTACGCTCCCTTTTGTAGTCCAGCTTTCCATTTGTTCTGCGTTCCAGTTTGAGGGATCGCTTTAGTTCCGTAAAGCTGGGAGACCTGACTGTCTCAGCGAGTTGAGGCTGGGCACACCGTTTGCAGTTGTAGAGGCCCGTTGCAGAACAGAGCACCTCGGTTACATTCATGTGTGAAGTCAGATGATGTGAACATGCTCCATTTCTCCCATGACCTTGTAGGGAGTTGAGGTTTTTGTGTGTTTGGCTAGTTTAAGCGAGGTGTCTACTGTAGGTAGTAAGAAATATCCCTTTCTCCTCTTCTTTCATCTTCAAGTATCAAGGAGTATTCTGTGCTAGAAGCCTGCTGGAGGAATTTGGCTTTCTACTTGGCTCTGAAGATCACTGATCCCATGGGTCAGTTTTATGCTTTACTAAGGGAATATTCTTAGCAGCCAATACTGGAGAATTCTGCTTTAGCAAACTTTTACAGTAAAAATGGTATCTTCCTGGAAGTCAGTTTTAATAAGATGAAGAGGCTCACATTTCTGGGTATTAATATGAGTCAATAAACTAGCTTTTGAGTTGGCATCACTGTTTTGCTAATGATAATATTTAAGTCTATTTTTTTCCTAGTCATCTAATTGCTTTCTTTTTGATACTTTCTTTTGATACTACACCCCAGATGTCACAGAGGAGCTGGATTTGAAAGGAAACCCCCCAAATATATCTCTGAACCTGTCTTTTTTGCTCTTCTGTGGAAATGCATTTGGTATATTATGGTGGCAGTTACATACCTTCTTTGTCTGATAGTTGTCCTAGTCCTCTTTCTGTTATCCTGCTGAGATTGTGGATGTTATTGGATTGTATCCTGCATTTGCTGTATTTTTCTTTTATACTTTAAACTGATTTAACAAACGTGTCTCGTAAAGTTTTGATCTTTTAAATGTGGAGTAGTGGGGGTTAAGTGACAGAATCCCAACCTGCAGCAGCAATGCATGAGGTCTGCAGTGTTCACCGTGCTGTTTGCACTGTCAGCTGTTTGCATCGAGCTGTACCTTACTTCTCTTGGGTTGTCTGTGAACACTGTCTGCAGCTGCGCATGGGGAAGTTGTGAAGGCTAGGTCTTGCCATCATCTCAGAAGAAACTTGTGAGCCTTTCTGGTTCTGATGGGTCGGTGGTTTTAATGAAAAGACTGTCTGTGGCTTGTAAAGTATAGTCAGTCACCTGCTAGGTATTTTCACTACTTGATTTCAAGCCACCTGATTTAAAGATATTACTGCCTTAATTGGTTTTTCCCAGCAGGAGTGACCCCTGTTGAGGTGTTTGAGTTCTTTCTTTTCCATTATCAGTCTTTTCCATTTTCTTTCCTTATCTTCTCTGCTAGCATACATACAGGGAACCTCTGTGGTAAATGCTGATCATTAACCCATTTTCTTACCATTCATACTTGCACAGCCTTCCTGGAATTGACATAAACATTTCTTTGCAGTATGGTTTATTGTTGTGAACAGAATAAAGGTATTTTGCATATTTATAATCAGTGGTCATTGAGGCTGCTTTCAGAGAAGTCCTTTAATCCGTCACTGTTATTAGTCATCAGTTTGGCCCAATGGCTTTGGCAAGAAAATTGCTCAGGGAGGTGTGTTTGGTTTTTTTTTTTTCCTCTCCAGCTTTACTGGTGATATATTTTCCTGAATCCTGGGGATCAGTTTCCTCTCTGGCAGAATAAAGAGCATTTGCCATAACATACCTCCAGCAGCATGCCAGACCGAGGACACTGGAGTCTGTACTGATGACTCAGGCTCTGCCCCCCTCCTGCAGCACCAGCTTAACCTTAAGCACCAATGTTATTCCTCAGCTGTGTCAGTAGCAGTCTTTTCAGCTGCAATTGCAGTGGAGAACACATTTATGAAGGAATGTTCAAAGAGCATAGCAGTTCCCTGGGGTTGAAAGTCCTGTTTGCTTTCTCTGTTCAACAGCTACCGTAGGCGCTTGGCTTTCCCTCTTCTGTGTGAGCCTTTATAGTAGCGTTGAAGAAGAGAAAAACATTATCCAAACAAAAACTGCTTGTAGCAACAACAAAAGAAGATACAAAATAGTGATGCTGTAAACTACACTGCCCTCAAAGTGGTGTGTTTATTTTGCAGTTATTTAAACATGTATGTTTGATATGTGGGATTTTCAAAACTGCCAGCCTGCAAGCTATTACTGCTCTTTTTGAACTACAGTGTGAGATGGCAGATTTTGGCAGGGTGCAGAGCTCTTTCATCCTTTGCCCCTAGTACAAATTGTCTCTGTTTTGCTACTTCTGCCAGGTTGCTGCTGCAGTGGTTGAAGACGCTGCTGAAGTTTTACAGGGCTTTTTTAAAGAAATGAAATTGTTTGAAATTCCTCTTCTTTTATGATGTATGTTTTGTACTATTTGTCCTTAGAAGATCTGTTTTGGTAGTCACAATAATTGTCAAAGTCTAGATAGTCTTTATTTTAGTTAAATATTGCCAGTGCTTTAACTTCTGGACCTTTTTTCTTTCCTGTCTCCACAGCTGTGATTGGGTTATTGTACCCATGCATGGACAGACATCTGGGAGAGCCACATAAATTTAAGAGAGAATGGTCCAGTGTAATGCGATGTGTAGCTGTCTTTGTGGGAATAAATCATGCCAGCGCTGTATCCTATATTCTAATGAAATTGGTGATAACAAATGGGTTTCCACTAAAACAAAGCTCACAGTCAGTCATGGTGAATTGTTAAAGATATAACGAGCAGCATTTTTGCAAGGGAAATGCAGAATATGTGTTAGTGTTAAACTGTCATAGCAGTATTGGAGGTGATAAGTCTCATGTCTTTTCATTCTGAAAAACCTTTTCATTAGAAATGTCTCAGTATTGGGCTTTGTCTTACTTATAGTCTTTATTTTCTTTGAATAATTAAAGTAAGTGCAGGGAAATACTTACGCGGTAGGTATTACAGAGAAGCGCTTGAAGACACTCCAAGGGTTTATGTCCTTTTAACACTGCAGTAAGAGGTTGAAGCCCAGTCTTGGGGTCATCGGTGAAGCGCATGCGCTTTGCAAAGAGTGGGGAAAAACTCAGGACCAGGTAATACCCAGGAGTACACAAAGCGAGTAAGCGCTGTTACCCCATTCTGCAAACGATGCCTTGATGCTGAGAGCGTAGTTACCGTTCCTGTGGTTGTTCAGTAAGAGCAATTAGAAGCCAGTCAGCATGTTGCAGTACAGTATACTCCTCCTAACTGTGTAGCTATTTGGACACCCTTTCACAAGCATGCTCAAAACTGGTGTCCCTTCCCTCTAAAGCAGCTGGGGAGATGCTGGGTGACAGGGTGTTTTTCACGTGGACTGACACACCTTACTGGTAGTGCTGTGAGTCTTAGTGGTTTTGTGTAGTCATGTCTAGTGCCTCCTCTGTCTGGTAAAATCAGAATCTGTCTGTGAGAATTGGGTTCTTGTAAACTAATTAGAGAGTTGATCATCTCTGGAACTCTCATCTCCTTCAGTGTCAGCTCCAACATGATTTGCAGAAACAGCACTAAGAAATTCTGATTGTGTGCTACTGAATCTCCTCATTTCTAGGAAAAGAGGGCAAGTTAAGTGAAAGATATGGGAGCTGGCTTGAATTCTTTCTGAGGTGGCTTGGCCCTCGGGTGGTGTTTGTTTTGTTGGGTTTTGTTCCCACAGCTGTCCTATCCAGTATGGCCCAATGAGCTGGCACTGCCAAGATCCAGGACCATTCCCGCTGTCCCTCGCAAACCTCGCTCTCCTTGCCAAAGACTCATTAATCGGGTCCTGGGGTTCTCACCCACCTGGACTGTACCTGTTGTGTAAGCACGTGCAACTTTGCTGCTTTTAAGAAATACAAGAGAAATGACAGCTTCTCTCTGCATGGGTCAGATTATTTACAGCAAACCTTCTTGCAGTTTTCTAACAACTGTTACACATATTCCAGGACATCATTAGCGTACTGTCTGTATTTCCTCCCTGACAGCTCTCCAGACTGTGTTCTTCTCAGCTTATTATTACCAGTTATGCACGTTACCGTCTTTGGTGTGTTTTTTGGTCTTGTTTGACATTTTTTGTGATGTTATTGATTTTTATCCTGTAATTGTTTATTTCCATTACTTGAACTTTTCTCCTTTCTTCTAGGTCTCTCTCCAGGTGAGAAAATAGGGCAGTGTTTTTATGTTGTCATCCCATAAATTTGCTTTCAGGCTTATGAAACCTGACAGCCTCCTTTTCAGTAATCTGTTTTGGACAGGAGTAGTGAGGGTGAGTTAGTATTTCCAAAACATTTTGAAAAATCTGAAACACTACAAAGATATCTGGAGTGCCTTCACACTTTTGTCACAGAATTGACAAAACTGATTTTCAGTGTTGATTTACATGATGACTTTCATGGTAATATTTTGTTTCATAGAAAACATTAACACTTTTTTAATGTTTAACTGAACATAAACTAGCATGTAAATTAAACAAAATTGCAATTAAGTAAGAGTGACAAATACCTTTTTTCAGTAAATCCTTGTCATTTAGAGGAGTCTAACACTACATTTAAGATTTCATGCTTAGTGTAGTAAAGGACCAGGTAAGGATGAGATGTCCTTACTGTGAACAGTAACATGCACGTTCTATGTCTATATAAATTGCCTGCATTATCTGCGTAGTCTCTTTGCTCTTGTAAGTGCTAAGACCCTAAAAACGTGAAGAAGTGTAAGTTTTTAGTTTCCTGATGTATTGGCAACACTGGCAAGGCTTATTTCCTTATCCCTGACAGCTGTGTTATAGCTGATACTGCTAGTGCTGTATTTTTTCATGGTATTATTTTCTGTTGTACCACAATATGATAAACAGAATGAAGAAAACTGCTTTACACTTGCATGTGATATTTCCAAGCTTATCCTTAACAATCAACACAGAAAGTGGATTTTGCCAACAATATCCAGTTGTCTCTCACATTAGCAGCCCTGTCAATTGGACTGTGGTGGACATTTGATAGGTCACGAAGTGGCTTTGGTCTTGGGGTAGGAATTGCTTTCCTGGCCACATTGGTGTCACAACTTCTGGTCTACAATGGAGTTTATCAGTAAGTATTTACTCCTTTAAGCTTAAATGATACTCTCATGAAGCTATAACATAAAATTAGAGTAACGGAAGGGGTAGAATTTGACATGATTTCCAGAGTTGCCAGCTCTTAATTTTGAGTGTAACGTAAATGGAACTGTCCATGTGTTTGTAAGTGAGACTTCTAGTTGCAAGTTGCTTATTTCAATAAAATTGCTACCTTGCCAACAATGTAGCATGCTTTTTTTTTAGTTCAACAAATGTGATTATAATCAACAAGAAGCATTCTTTGTTATTTGCTGCAAGTAATTAAATTTCAATAATACATGGGGTTTTTTTATGTGGAATGTCATAATATTCATATTTGTGGATTTGTCTGATGCGATTGGAGGACTCTACAACATTGGGCTCAAAAATGTGTGTTCTTTTCCAGGTACACATCTCCAGATTTCCTTTATGTTCGTTCCTGGTTGCCATGTATATTTTTTGCTGGTGGAATAACTATGGGCAATATCGGCAGGCAGCTGGCAATGGTAGGTTTGGAGGGGTAATCAATTGCCTTCTAGTAAAAGTTTTAATCTAGGTGTCATTCCTTCCTTCATGTATACCAACCAGCTAACTGACTTTGGATGTGGATTAAGGTAGAAATCAGTAATTGCTGCTTTTTGATCTAGTTAGTGAGCCATTAGTACTGTTATTCAGAGCACAGCCCATGACTTTGCTCTGTACATTCTCAGTTGCATACTTCTAGTCCTTTGATGACCAGGAGCTAAGTAAGAGCTCCCATGTTTGGGGAGAAGTTGGGCCATCCCCTAAGTCTGAAGGGCTCTTTCTGCTGCTCAAGGAGACAGAAATTGCAGCCAACAGTGTGTGCACAGAACTTAGGGACACCAAACTTACCTGGGTGAAGTGTAAGCTAAGCTATTTTATCACCTGTTGTGTAGAAAAATCCCCGTCAGCAGTCTTTCATTAGTTAGTAAATGAATATTATTAATTTTGTCAACTTTGTTTTTCAGTATGAATGCAAAGTCATTGCAGAGAAGTCTCATGAGGACTGAGGAGAAACAATATGCACCTTTTAAACAGGAAAATATCTGACAAATGACTGTTGGAGGAGCATAAGGAACACTTGACTATGAAATTGCCAAAACGCAATTTTTTTCCCTTGAGTGGTACACTTTACTGCAATCTGTGATTGCTGCTTCTATAGAAACCTTGATGTCTGATTTTGATTACTGTGAAGTTACGATAGTATGCAATACATTTGACAATATTGGTTCAATTATAGGGATTCTTTTTTCCAAATCTAAACTGAGTTTACCATAAGTTCTTGTCTGGCCATAATGTTGCAGTGCCAAACTGAACCTTTGCACTACGTTTCTGTAGCTGAAACTTCTGCTTCACTTTATCTTGAAAGTTTTGAGGAATTTGTTCTTAATAGCTCAGTGAAAGACAGGGGATTCAAATTTGGGAATGAAGATCTTCTCTTTCCATGATGATAGCCCGTTAATATCTTTATGAAATTCATGGATTACAGGTGAGCTTTGATGCAATAAGTAACTGATTTCTGCCTGTTAACACACTGTATTGTTGTTCTAACATCACAAGTGAGGAAACTTAATACGGATCGTATGGGTTATTGCTGTAGCATTTCATTTGTCTGTGGTACGTGCCCAGTATCACAGAATACGGAAATGGAAACTGAGGCTGGAAATTATTTGCTGTTTTTTTCCCCTGGTACAAGCAGTATACATGTTTGTATATGAACTTATGTGGACAGATTCTGAAACTACTTGTGTTGAGTAACCGGGTCATTCTTGTACAGTCCCTTAAGCTGACTTGTGTTTATCCCTTATAAAAAAAAAAAAAAATCTTAGGGAGATTTTGTTGCGAAACTTAATTCCACTGAACTAAATAAGCCACTACCATATAGTGTCATGAAACCCTCCATTACCAATGTTACTCTTGCTAGTTCTTGTCTACTACCTGCTCTGTTAGCAGGGATCGGCAGAAGGAGGCAAGGCGGTATTTTAGGTACTGATGTAGCCCTTATTGCTGTGACTATGGTCCAGGCAACCATAAATGCATTTGTTCTCATTGCAATTTTCTGAAGTAGAGGTATACTCTTACCCCTATCTTACAGGTGCCTGTGCACAGAGAGTCTGATGGGACAGAGAGTGGAAATAGGCTGTGTGCTGCTCAGTTGCCTTCTTCAGAAGAAGGATTTTAGTGTGTGACCCATATTTGGGGCCATACGTGGAATTCCCTCTTGGCTTTGCAGCTCCCTTTTAATACCATGAGAAAAAAGAACTTGTGCAAGAAGGCAGAAAGCAGACTTTAGGAGGACACTCCTAACCTGTACCGGTAGTGAATTCGGCACAGGGTGTCACCACTTAGTGTTCCCCTTTCTGTCTCTGTGTTGATGATGTTTTAATATATTTTGTTTCCTTTTTGTCTTGAAGTACTATTTTTTAAATCTTCCATGAAAGGTTTATAAGATATGTTACAGTCACCTAGGGAGGCTGGAGTTGGTCCAAAGAACAAATAGATGTTTAGACAAGTTTTTATTAATAAATGTGTGTATGCATTGTACACGAAGCTTGAAATAGGCAACTCTTTTTCAGTCTTATATGCTTATCTCTAAGTCTGAAAAGCATGCAATGGAGTGCTTCCAAAAGCGTTGTAACGAAAGAGGTGGTCACAAAAGGAAAATGGCTATAATGGGGAAGTGTAAAAATAATAAAGAAGCAAATTATGTATAAAGAGCTTGGTTCTGCAGCTCCACACGGTTTCATCAGCTTACTACAGTTCCATGACAATTCAGCACCTGAAGCAAGCTTTCATTGGGTGATGTTTCAGGAAAGCACTTACAGGTGTGCTTTGCTTTAAGCAGCAGAGGTAGAACATATTTAAGTAGATCCTCAACTGGAGATTTTCTTTTAATCAAACCATATGGCAATAAGAAGCATTTTATTAATAAAAGCAAGAAACTGTTAGGGCATGAACTAAGGGTGAGTTTCTTTAGGCAGGCTCTGGCATTTCACTGAAGAAGCCGTTGCATCCCTTTCCATGCAGTATTTGGCCTCATCCGCCTTCTTTACTTCAACAAATGGCTTCAGCTTGGTGGGCAGCGTGATGAGTCCCTCTTGAATAGCATAAAGATTCAGATGTTTCTCATCCTAACTGTAGGAAATAACATGGTACCTCAGTAGCCAGTGTGCTGACTTGGTAAACAATTTGCTTTCATTGTGACCGAGAAGTGTATACAACTGGAGATGAGTAGTTTTTATGATTCACTTGGTGGTAGAACTGCTTTTACCTGCCAGTCTAAATATTTACACAGAAGAAGCCTTGTGTATGTTAAAATGTGGAGTATGTGAGAAGTGGTTATTGTGCATCTGTGGCACCCACTTTACAACACTTTGCACTCGGATTCATCTAAACCTGATTAGACTGTGCTGTCCGCTAACTTTTAAATTTCATTTTGGAAATTTTGAGTGTGTTGTGCAAAGGCAGCAATCATCCAAAATAAATTTGGGTAGAGTCCTTTATTATATGCGTTTTATTATTTTTATTCTTATTGGACTGAAGTCGATACAAGATTCATGTCTTGGATGTCATATTTTTTCAAACTGCATTGTAATTTTATGGCTGATGTGTTCAAACCCTGAAAAAGGTTCATGATGAGAACGCTGACACGGCCTTAACTGTAGTGGTGTGAACATGCTGCTACTGTATAGCGTGTAATTATAACATTAGCCTGTCTTAAAAATGTTGTTCAATAGAGAATGAATAAGGTATATTTTAGATACAACTTTATAAGCACTATAACCTCTTCACTAATTAAGCATTGTAAGTTCTATGCTGTTTAAACTGGCAAATTGCTGTTAAAAGCAAAATGTGCATTAAATACAATTCCAACCTTGTTTGATAGGTTTCTTCTTTCTTTAAGAAATAATACTAATTTTTAAAATACACTAAGTTGCCTTCTATCAGCAATCTTGTAATAGTTCTGACCGTGGAGCTGGCACAGTGGTTGCACAAAGCACCTATCTAGAAATACTAAAAAAGAAGCAGGCAAGATCACATCGGCAGCCATTCTATCATAATTAGCATGCTGAGCAGCCTTTGAAAATTTGCCCTTTTGAATCTGCAGTGGGAATATTTGAGCTGGAGGAAAATAAGCCAGAGAACTTCAGTTGCAATAAAGAAAATAGAGATTTAGATATAAATAGCACCTATGAATATGAAAAAAAAAAAAGGCAGGGAATCCCTTAATATTTATTGTATTTATTAATACTCTGGTCTGGATATGAACTGAATGTTATTCTGGTATTCACAGACTGTCCCTGGGCCGTGCCCTTCACTCTCTCAAAAGAGATGTAGCAAATAGAGGTTTAGAAATGTGTAATGAAAAATCCTCCAGGAAGAGGTGAAGAAAGGATGGGAAGAGGGGTTCCTCAGTATTGGAGATGCAGTGCCCCCTACAGGACGGCAACACACGTGAAAGGTGGAAAGAGGGGGGGGGGTGACGGAAAAAGAGTGTGGGGGTGAATGGAAAAGACCCATGTTTGTGTTGGATGGGGCAACCTGTGACCCAAAAATCTGAACTCTGTAGTCAAAATGCAGAGCCCTGGGTGTGCCAAGTGTCTGACCAGAGGCATTACAACCAAGGTAGAACTAACCATAACTTTACTGAGTCATGGCGCTAAGACCAGTCAGAAGCACACTGGCAAAGGTGCTTTCCTGGAGATTTAACCTCTCCCTTGTATCTGTAGTCTGTCCATGAGAGTATCATCCAGGGAAGGGAAACTCCAGCTCCTGCCTGCCCAAGTTCAGCCTGAGGGTGTCAAATAGAAAGTTGTCCGTTTCGGAGAGAGTGTTCCAACTGTCAGGCTGCCAGGCTCTTGCAAAACGCATCTTGTGCCTCCCTTTACAAGGTGGCTGCTGTAAGCAGCTAGAAGGAGAGTAAACAAAGAAACTTCCTCCGTAGCTTCTGTACTTGGGCCATCTGGCTGGGAGCTGCTGCAGGGACCTGTGGGCATACACCAGCCTTCCCTTTTTATCTCTCCCAGCATGTAAGGAAAGGGACGTGATTTTTCCAGCTGCGTCACCCTGGACATTTTGCATATGCTTTTTACATTTTGGAGCAGTGTTACCAATAACTCCTAATGGTAATGGATGAATATAACCTGTGGAAGTGATGTTAAATATCAAATACAATGCTTATAGAAGTACATGCACAGCTGGGCAGAGGGAACGTGTGTCTCGCCGTGGGAATAGCTATCTAATGCTGTTAGTTTTGATGCCAGTACTAAACGCAAAGCATGAGTAATTTTGCAGCTTAATGTTCAGTACTAAACAGTAAATGAAAGGTCAGTCCAACATGTTAACTGTCATGGAATAGTAAACGCTACGTTAATTGCTGCATGCAGCCAGCTTGGATTTTTGGTGTGTCTGTTGTCAAGTTTTGAGCAGCATGGTCCAGAGCCTTGTCCTGATTACCTCCCCCCAGTCAAATGACAAAGCCTCAAATTAAAGGATAAACTTTATGCCTGGGCTTTTTAGGCAGCATACTGGGAGTTTGTGCTTTGAATGCTTAAAAGCCACACTGGGGAAGAGGTAGGGGTCATTTCCTGATCTGATTGGAGCCGAAATCTGGGTTGAAGTGTAGTTTTGCATTTTATTGAGATTTTCCTTTCTTGCTCTTCATTTCTGAAGCACAGAAATTTAGCAGCTCTCATTGCACTTTCACACTTACTTTGTTTTTCGCCCTGCCCAGCACTAGAGCAGATAGGAACCACCCCACACAAATGAGAGAGAATTATAAAGGGAAAGGGCTGCTACTAATTTTCCCCAGGCCACACGGGCTGAGAGCTCAGTGGTGTCCAGTGAGCCACGTACATCAGTGTCGGATGCACAACCTACAGCGTCCCCAGGTCCAAGCTGATAGGATTCAATTTCTGTACTGGCAGCAGTTCTGCCTCAACTTTTGCACTTAAAAACCTCTCTTCAGGGAGTGACGCGTTGTGCGGTAGTCATGCAGGGCTGCCAGTACGCATTGCAGGGTATCTGCAGTGACAAAGTCCACAGCAATAGCCATAAGGTCTGCTTTTCATGAGTTTGTTGGTAGAAATCCTGAAATTGTGCCTTTGAGCAAATACGTGAAATATTTGTTGAAATCTGTATTTATAAACATGTTGCTGTCTGAATTCACAACATAATTCTGCTAGTTCTGTTCTCTGATTAGTTCAATGTATACCCTGTGTTGTGTGAGGTAAACCTACATTTCGGGTAATTAATACTTTTTTGGTAATCAAACCTCAAAGCAAGATTTGTTTCATGCAATTATTCAGAGAAAACGTGAGCTAAAGAGAAAGCTGTGAGGAATAGGTTGGCAACTTAATTCACCAGATGGAAATTTTGCAAGGAACATGTTACGAACAGAGAAGGACTTGTGGGTGATGCGATGGTTGGTGGCCATCTTGGGCACAGTGATCACAAAATGATAAAAGTTTTCGATTCTTGGAGAAGTGAGGAGGGCGGTCAGCAGAATGGCCATCTTGGGCTTCCAGAGGGCAGGCTTTGGCCTCTTTAGGGGCCTGGTTGAGAGAGTCCCTTGGGAGGCAGTCCTGAAGGGCAAAGGGGTCCAGGAAGGCTGGGCATTCTTCAGGAAGGATGTCTTGAAGGCACAGGAGCAGGCTGTCCCCATGTGCCAAAAGAAGGAGGGACAAGACCGGCCTGGCTGAACAGAGAGCTTTGGCTGGAACTCAGGAAAAAAAAGAGTTTATGGCCTGTGGAAGAAGGGGCAGGCGACTCAGGAGAACTACAAGGATGTTGTGAGGTTATGCAGGGATAAAATTAGAAGGGCCGAAGCACAGCTAGAACCTAATTTGGCTACTGCAGTAAAAGACAATAAAAACCATTTCTATAAACACATTAGCATCAAAAGGAGGGCTAAAGAGAATCTCCATCCTTTATTGGATGCAGGGGGAGACATAGTGATGAAGGCTGAGGAAAAGGCTGAGGTACTTAATGCCACCTTTGCCTCAGACTTTAATAGTAAGACCGTTTGTTCTTGGGGTACCCAGTCCCCTGAGCTCGAAGACAGAGCCTGGGGCAGAATGAAGCCACCGTAATCCAAGGGGAAATGGTTGGCGACCTGCTGCACCGCTTAGACACACAAGTCTATGGGGCCAGATGGGATCCACCCAAGGGTACTGAGGGAGGTGGCAGAAACGCTAACCAAGCTCCTTTCCATCATTTATCAGCAGTCCTGGCTAACCGGGGAGGTCCCAGTTGACTGGGGGTTAGCAAATGTGACGCCCATCGGCAAGAAGGACCAGAAGGAGGAGCCGGGGAACTTCAGGCCTGTCAGCCTGACCTCTGTGCTGGGGAAGGTTATGGAGCAGATCATCCTGAGTGCCATCATGTGGCATGTACAGGACAGCCAGGGGATCAGGCCCAGTCAGCATGGGTTCATGAAAGGCAGCTCCTGCTTGACTGACCTGATCTTCTTCTGTGACCAGGTGACCCACTTAGTGGATGAGGGAAAGGCCATGGATGTTGTCTACCTGGACTTTAGTAAAACCTTTGACACTGTCTCCCACAGCATTCTCCTAAAGAAGCCGGTGGCTCATGGCTTAGACAGGCGTACTCTTTGCTGGGGAAAAAACTGGCTGGGAGGCCCCAGCCCGGGGGGGTT